TATTATGTATGAAACATAGATAGTTATCAGAGCTGCAGCATCGTAACTTTAATTAAGGCCATTTAATCCAACATCCATATCACGGAGACAGCGTATTCTTTTTTCAGCTATAACCCATTTCACGGCTGTTTCAGCAGCAACTAGACATTGCTTATATTTATTCATCGATTTTTTCCCATGGATACAGCAACGGAAATAGTTGAAAGAGACAATTCCGATTCCGCCAAGGAATTGGGAAAGGAACTATACCTAACTTAAGTCTAAGTGAACAATTGGCTATTTTCGCGTTTTTTCGCGCGGCCATAACTCGACTCTAAAACGTAATCACGTGACGCCCTTTGGTTTATTGGGACTCGAGCATGATATGAAGAAGTGTGTCAAGTGAAAACTTCAACCGGCTGATGGTTTGGAAATTAGAGCACCGACTTGTTTTGCAATAATTCAGACCAATGCGAGGGGCAGAGGGGGAGAGATCGATTTTGACCAAACTTACAACTTCGAGATAGAAGAAAAACACAGAACTACACGAATTTTTGTAATGTTTGCCTTGAAGACAATCCATCGGCGGGTATGACAGGCTATCAAACTACTTTCTTACGACATTTTGTGTCTCAGACCAAATTTTTTCAACTCCAAAGCCGGATTCTGAGGGAAAAAAATCCTTCTTGTTATAGATTACCCAAAAAACATTTGTACCAAAAGATTCAAATTCGTATACCAAAAACTCATTAGAAATTAGATAGTCTTAAAACGTGGCCCTTGTATGTATTTGAAGTGACACCGCCTTTGCATGCACGAGTAACGCCAGATATTTACAGATATTTATTTTTCATTTTCCTTTTGATAGCTAATTATAGACGTCGGAAATTTAAGTGTTTATAGAGCATACTGTTCAATTCGATGTTCAGCAGACCTATGGTAACTTAGTAGCTGCCTACACTGACTGACTGACTAACTGGCTGCTGATATAGCGACTGATTGACTGACTGATTAGACTAACTAAACTGACTGACTGACCAGCAAACTGACCGACTGACTCATTCACTCACTACACTGACTGGCTGGCTGACTTATTGACTGAATGAGTGACTGAATGAGAGTGACTGAGTGACTGAATGACTGAATGACAGAACAGATTTAACCGATTTACTGACTGACTGATTATCTGATTGTTTGGCTGATTGAACAGAACGGATGACTGATGGTCAGAGTTTGGTAACTTCTGGGAAGGCGATGTCATTACGTTTATCTCGTCCAAAAGTCAATATTTAAGCAAAGTTTTTGGTTTATTTTTATACCTGGTAAGATTAGTATGATAGCAAACAGATATCACAATATAGACATGGTGAAGAAATCCAAATTTCACGTGAAACCAGCACGAATAAAGTCCACATAAATTCTCGTAAAATTATGGGTAGACGGCCTATATTAGTCTGTAGAGTGCATGGAATGGATAGTTGAGTGAACTCATAAAGAATTATTCTTCTCTGACATAATTATTACAAACTCTATAGAAAAAATACCTTGCTGATATATAAACAGTCAATTTCAACATTAAATAAGTACTGCAACTTTTATGTCGGTCGGCATTTTAGCATAGGACAACAAACGCCAAAGTGCATGGGCAAGAATGAGCTTGAATTTCTCCTTTATTTGACGATAGATGGCGATGCATAAAGAATGTGTTTGGACTGATTCTTTGTTTTCTACATGTGCTTAAATAGTGTTTTAGCTGTGACAGTGATCTTAAAACTTTTGCTGTGTCCAGTTTTGTTTGCGTGTTACGTGGTTAGCCGAAGGTACCTATAAGATTAGGTATGGTGCTTGCTGATTGGTGGACTTGCTTTTCTAGAGACCTCTGTCGGCTACCATTAGAATGTGTCAATTTGCGATTGTAACTCAGTTGATACGAGCTACGATCTCTTCATAAATCCCGCTTTACTATCACTGGTAAACACGATGGTATAAGACCGCTGGTAAATGCGTTACGATTGTATGTTAGTGAATAGGGCCCCATGTTTTGCTTCTATAGAGCAAAACTTGCAGTATTAATGTCTTGAAGACATGTACCTTAGTCCTGCTGTTGTTGACTGAGTTCATGTCTCCTGATGCAAGACCAATCCATCTACTGACTTCTTGGTCTGACAGCCCAGAGAAAATGGACTTCACTACTCTGACTTTCGTGTCCTCACCGCAATCACGTATCGACTGAGCAGGTTCCCTTAACAGGCCCCCGAAGTCCTGGATCTAGGTTTTGGTCCACGAAATCGCTAAGCCCAGGGACATCACCTCATTGCTGAATGCATCAAGAACCGCCACTAGAGATTCCAGAGACTCAGATAAGATAGCAACATCTTCAGCAAAGTCGAGGTCCGTGACCTTGACATTGCCCAATATTGCTCCACAGTAACTTTGTATAGTGGGTCTAGTCTGTTATCCAGTCCATGCATGTACTGAAAAGAGTTGATAGGCCCAAACCACACTTTACAGTACTATCAGTACCAGTATATAGGTTTCCTTTTAAACCAAAATCTGTGTTGGAATTCCCAGGTTCTCCCATAGTGTTTTGCGATATACCAATTAAAACTCCTTCTTAAGATCGATGAAGGCTGCAAGCAACCCGCAGCCAAACTTACGGCGGCGTTCCACAGTGACTCGAAGCTCTAGGATGCAGTCTGTTGTGAACTTTTATCCACTTTTATTATTTTTGTTATGATTTATATAAGCTAGTCCTATACTTCATACTATTCTTCGTATGAAATAAAGGGAAAATAAAACAAAAAATATTACTTTATAATGTATCCCATACTTTATTATGGCACATGCAGTAAAAGAAAACAATGGGAGTAGGTGTTAAAAATAAATCAGGTATCAGTGTTTCGTCAGTCTAATCGAGTTAAGGTAAATATACAGTTGATCAATGCCAAATTTGAAATCTGAATACCTATACAAATTATTTATGACACTATCAACAAAGAATGGCTATACAATTCAATGGCACATTCGAAGAAATATACATAAATTATCTTTGAAAAATGAAGTATTTATGCCTTCTGAATATATACAAAAGAGATTCTCAAGGATATGGGCAATGGATGAGGATTTCGTTAACTTGGGTTTATAAAGTCCACGTCAGTTATCTTTAAAAAAAAAGTAGATTTTTTTTTTTCTTTTTATTCTAGTTATCCATTTTTATAATTCATGTCATGATTTACACAAGCTGATGTCATACTTCATACTCTTCTTCGTATGAAGTGAAGAGTGGAGGGAAATCAAACATAAAGATATTGCTTTATAAGGTATCCCTTACTTTATTATGGCACATGCAGTAAAACAAAACAATGGGAATGGGTGTTAACAAATTACATTAAATAGTTTTTCGTCAGTCTGGTCAAGGTAATGTAGTCAAATCTTATTTACCAAAAACTATATTTATCTGGCATTACTTATGGTAAAGTGAAATATACAGTCGATTTATGGCAGCGTTGAAAACTGAATAACTATACAATTTATGACACTATTGACAAAAAATGACTATGCAATTTAATGGCACTTTCAGAAAAAAGAAGAAAAAATTGCTTTGAAAAATGAAATATTTATGCCTTCTGAATGATATATACAAAACATATTCTCAATGATATGAATAATGCATGAGGATTTCTTTAACTTTGGTTTATAGAGTTTACGTTAGTTCTCAGTAAAAACTAAAAAAAGATATATATATAAAAAAACAGTCAATTTGTCAGCCTCGAGTGTTTTATCAGTTTAGTCTTTGTTGTCTTAAAAGTAGTCTCGGTCAAGATGCATCTTAATGTTATACCTGAGTCTATCAAGTCATGTGTGATATGTCAGAGATTAATAAATACGTAATAAATAGAAATATCAACAGAACATCAAAACAACAAACAAAACATAGAAGCAGGACTTTGGTTGAAAGTTATGAAAGTAAACTTTGAGAATTCATGAACCAGCATGAATTTTCTCACTGAGATACTGGAATATATATATATATATATATATATATATATATATATATATATATATATATATATATATATATATATATATATACATATAAATGTAAACTATTATGCTCTGGCAGTGTGTATATGAAAAGAAGAGATGAAAACTTTAAATTTTTTGATTTTTTGGATCTGATTTGTTTCGTAATGAAGTAGGCGTCAAGTGATTTTAGATAAACTTTGAAAGCGAAAGAGGAACAAAGATGGGGGAAAAGGAGGACATCGTTCTCTTTTGTCTTTGACTTTAGGAGAAAGAGAAAGACAGAGAGGAATAGAGAAAGAGAGAGAGAGAGAGAGAGAGAGAGAGAGAGAGAGAGAGAGAGAGAGAGAGAGAGAGAGAGAGAGAGAGAGAGAGAGAGAGAGAGAGAGAGAGAGAGAGAGAGAGAGAGAGAGAGAGAGAGATTTAAATTATAATAAGAATCATGAGTTGCCCAGCAAGTAATGTAAAAATAGAAGGGCGGAGTGCTTACATTTTTGGAAAGGAGCAAAGATAGGAAATGATAGGAAAATGGCCGTTAGAGAGCTTCCTATTTGAACATAAAGTCCACGTAGGAGCATCTGTAGCGCTTGCAGTCCGTCTTCCTGAGAGCGGAGTCCTTGAAGATCTTCATCTTGCTCTCGAAGGCGCGAGGAGCGAAGAATTCGAACATGCTGCGGCGACGGAGGAAAGAAAGAATTAGATCTTTTGATATCTTTTGATATTATTTTTTTCTTCTGTTAGAGACACACTCTGACTCACTCTCTTTCTCGCACACACACACAAACACCCACGCTCACAGCCACACCAGGAGAACCTTACCTGACAGTATTTGTGTATCCGTCAGCGAATTTTCCAGATTCACAGAAGAGGCGATCCAAGCAGTCCTCGCTCTCCACAGCTTGGGTTATCATCACTGTCATCTGAGGGAAATAAAAGACTGATGAGAGAGAGAGAGAGAGAGAGAGAGAGAGAGAGAGAGAGAGAGAGAGAGAGAGAGA